AAAGAAAGAAAGAAAGAAAGAAAGAAAGAAAGAAAGAAAGAAAGAAAGAAAGAAAGAAAGAAAGAAAGAAAGAAAGACGCTGTGAGGATGTGAGCTTGCAAGTTTACAGACACCCACCCTGCTCTCCCCAGACGAGAGTTTCCTATGGAGGCCAGGGCATTTTCCACAGTCCCACCCAGCATTCTTTAACAGCTGCTGGAAATTGTTAGCACAATAGGAAATAGCTGATAGGAGGGGGTTGTTTGGAAACGTATCTTGTTTTTCTTCTCTGATTTTTATTAGGCTAGAAAGTCCCAAACTCAGGAAAAAGAGGTGCTTGTTTTGGCAGTGAATCATGAGTCATGTGTGCAGAGGGATGCACATTTTGAACTACTGGTATGAGAGGCCAATTGCACCAGATCACCCACACACCAATTGCATGTGTACATAACAGAAGTTTCAAGGTTTAATGCTAGGGAATTTCCTTTTTTCCTTGATTTTCTGAATAGTTTTCTCTCCAAAGATTATTTCTTATTATTATAGAACCTCTGTAAATATATTATAGAAGTTACAATAAGATTTGTAACTGCTCCAGGACAGTATGATACACAACATATTCTAATTCTGATTTGAAAATCTGATACCTCTTGCAAATCATCTTCTGCAATAAATTTACTGGTCTACCTTACTAAACTGAAACAAGTACTTAAGGCCAATGGAACACAATAAAACTAGTGCTTTCTGGAACAAGGGAACAATTGTGTTTTAATGATATCTCATCCATTATGTATGAACATTATCTCATACATTATTTAAGAAGAAATGTCCTAACAGTTAGAACAATTAATCTGTAGAAGAACTTGTCTCCAGAAGTTGTGAATGCTCAAGCACTGGAGGTTTTTAAGAAGAGATTGGATAACCATTTGTCTGAAGTGGTGCAGGGTATCCTGCCTGAGCAGGGTGTTGGACTAGAAGACCTCCAAGGTCCATTCCAACTCTCTTATTCTGTTATTCTGAATGTCTTTGCCCAGAGAAACACAACGTTAGGTATATAAACTCAGATGAACCTGGGATGGTTTTATATTTGAAGGCTGTTTTATGAAGAATCCTGAACAATCAATCCCTTCCCTAGCTACAGTCATTACTGATACAATGTAGCAAATGCTTTGCATGGCTTTGGGATAGTATAAACAGGCACACATCCATTCAGAAGTGCTAACAGCCATGCAGCAGAAAAAGAGAACCTTTAGCCTTGCTTGTAGATCTCCTCTGAAACAGAGACTTTGGGCTATGTCAAAGTCCTACAAATAGACCTAGCAATTTTGTCTGCTGGTGTGATTGCACTGGGGGAAACGAGCATGAACATAGGGAGTACTGTATATACTCAAGTATAAGCCTAGTTTTTCAGCCCCCTTTTTGGTCTGAAAAAAGCCGCCTCGGCTTATACTCGAGTCAATAACTTTTCCAGTTTTTTGT